GGGGAAAAACCTATTTTTCAAAATTAGGTTGTTTCTTCACCCAGCTTCACTCTTCTTGACTTCATTTTAAGCATCTCATATTTATTTTCAAATGGCTAGGGGTTTGCCTCAAACTCCCTTACATTATAGCCCTATTCTACTTTCTCCAAATGGGGAAGGAAGGCAGGATTGCATTGTCAGTTTGGTCTCCAATACTGTCTATGCTTCTATTCCCATTATTTGATTTATGCATGTTTAGTATAAAATTAGAAAAGGTCACCTTTCCCAGTACAGCTTTAAGTGTTGCTTTTCCGTGTTGTCCAATTGTGCAGGGTTTCAATTGCATTAAGCATCTATATGCATGCTAATGCATGCAAGAAGATGTGACACCAATAATGGTAGCCTGAGTTTTGATCCAACTCCCCCACCCACAGATGTCTTTATGTTTAGTGTATAGATGTAGAAATTCTTCTGCTATTTGTTCCTCTCTGAAATTTATACTCTGTGGATGCCAATCTCTGTCTAAAATATTTTCTCTTTCTTCCATCAGCTCTACAGTAAGACTATTTTTTCACTTAACCTTTGGCTTTATGCTTTCAATATATCCAGATAACTCCTGAAAAGACATGTTTTGATTTATTCTAGCTTTTCAGAATTGGTTCATCTTCCCTTTTACATTCCCTTCTTGTATTTTCATTAGAACGTAAGCATGAAGGCAAGGCCTGTTTTACATTAAAGGGTGTAGAATGCTGTGACTGTAGGTATAATTCCAACTGGATGATGATGATGGTGGTGGTGGTGGTGGTGGTTGGTCGCACAGTCAGCCAGATGTTTAGACTGGATTTGGCATTTTTATCCACCTATCGAGTCCTTCACAAGGACCTGGGGTAGGCAGATGTTGTTATTATTATTATACAACGTGAAATCACAGTTGTCAGTTCTTTAGCTGGTGTTGGCCTTCATTTGCATCGAGTTCTTCTCAAGAACCTAGGATGTCGTAATGTATCAACATAGTATATGTGCGGATCCAAGCAGCATGGCCTTTTGTAATTGACAGATGGAAATTTTGTCAATGTGCAGATTTTCTAAGTGCTGTCCAAGGTTTTTTTTGATATGGCACCCAAATAACCACTGGGACCACCACTGCTGATTTGTGCCATAATCTTTCAACTTCATTTTTCAGATCTTGATACTTTATAATCTTCTCTAATTCTTCGTCTTCTATTCTACTGTCCCCTAGTATTGCCACATCAATTATTCACACTTTCTTTTCATTTTCATTTTCATTTTCATTTTCTTCATCATCATCATCATCATCATCATCATCATCATCATCATCATCATTATTATTATTA